TGAGGAGGAACTGGAAAGGAGGGGTGACAGATTTGATCAGAACATAGTGTATGCAAGTATGAAATTCTTGAATAAAAAATGAAATTAAGTAAATTCCCCATAAAGTTGAGAAAATAGCTCACAGTACAAAAGGCAGGCAGGCATGGGGAGAGAGAGAGACAGACACACACACACACACACACACACACACAGAGAGAGAGAGAGAGAGAGAGAGACAGAGAGAGGGGGGGGGAGGCTAACTCCATCATTCATGGGCAGATAGCAAGACACAGGCACACAAATAAATGTTGCAGCACTAAGCGATGTTTGGATGAAAACAGTGAACTAGTAACACTTTGTCTAAACTCATTATATGTTGCAAAGAGCATTTGTTTTGGGCTCATGAATCCACAGGATGAACCCATGACAGTAGATGGTGGCAGGGCAGCAATCAGCAGGCCTGACTGCAGGAACGGGAAGCTGAGAGCTTCCATCTTGAACTTCGAGCATGACGCCAAGAGAGCAAACTGGAAATAGACAGGGCTTTTTAACTTTAAAGTCTGCCCTCAGTATGAACTTCCTCCCCAAACAATGCCACCCACTCAGATTCCTGAGACCATGAGAGACATTTCACATCCAAACCACTACATCCCACGTCCTGGCAACAGACTCATGGTAATACCATAATGCAAATGCATGCAGTTCAATTTCAGAAGTCCCCAGAGATTAACACTGTCTAAAAGTCCAAGGTCTCTTCTGAGACTCAAGGCAATCTCTTAATTGGTAACCCCTTACAAAAAAAGTCGATTACATGCTTGCAGCACACAGTGGCATGGATGACCCATTACCATTCCAAAGGACACAGAGAGGAAGTACAGTGAGCAAGACCAGAACCCAGCCGTTCTAACAGATCCTGCTGCTCATGTCCTGTTAAAGGGCCTGCATAGTTCCACCCTTCCAGCTTTGTTGCCTGGCACACACTTTTCTCTTGGGCTGATTTCATTCCCTGTATGCAGATACCCCGCGGCTTGGGCATTCCAAAATCTTGGGGTGTCTACTGTAACACAGGCTTCACTTCCAACACCTTTATGTAATGGCCTCTCAAGTGTCCAGCCTTCCAAGGACCTTCATGTAGAGACCACCCTGCCATATGCTGCCTGGTCTCAGTGGTTCTCTTAAATCATGGAGGAAAATCCACGAACACTCCACGCCTGCATGTTTCATGCCTGTGAGGGTGGCAACATGTGAACCCCACTGCCAAGTTCCACCGCCAGCTTGTGATGGACCTCCTTCCCCTTGAGTCACATTAGTGCAGGGCTTCATTCAGTTGTCCTTTGGGATCAGAGCATGTCGAATGTCCTTCCCACATGAAGTGAGGGAGTCAACACAGGATATGAGAGAAAACTTCAGTAAAGCAAAACACTGAGGAAAAAACCCTGAAATACTGGAAATGGAGATTTCAATAAGTCAAATAAGATCCATGGGAACTCGTACCAACAGGCTGGATTAAGATGGGGACAGAATATTAGAACTTGAAGTCAAGCAGAGAAATCGCACCCACTGTGATTAGGATACTTTATCAATGTAAAACATTTGGGACATCAAGAAAAGAACACATAAATTGTGGGATTAGAAAGAGGAGGATTTTATCTTTCTAAAAAGATCTTTTACCTTTTATCTTTCTAAAAAGATTGAATTTCATTATTTTTAATTATTAATACGTCTCTGTCTTATGTGGGCATGTGCACGTGACAGCGGGTGTGCTCAGAGGCCAGAGATTTGGGATTGCTCTGGAACTGACGTTATAGGTGGTTGTGAGTCACCCAAAATGGGTGCCGAGGATCCAACTAGGACCCTCTTGAAGAGATCTTAATCACTGACCCATCTCTCCAGCCCATGAGAGAAAACCTGTTCAATAACAAAATCTAGGGCAAAAGACATCTATCAAGGTACAGAGGGACAGGCAGCTAACAGGCAAGACCAGGAAGTAATCCATACTGCATTATAGTCACAGCAATAAGTATTCAGGACAAAGGAAAGACATGGGAAGCTGCGAGAGAGAAGCAGCACATCACACAGACAGGCAGAGCACCATGTCACACAGACAGACAGGCAGAGCACCATGTCACACAGACAGACAGGCAGAGCACCATGTCACACAGACAGACAGGCAGAGCACCATGTCACACAGACAGGCAGGCAGAGCACCATGTCACACAGACAGACAGGCAGAGCACCATGTCACACAGACAGACAGGCAGGCAGAGCACCATGTCACACAGACAGACAGGCAGGCAGAGTACCATGTCACACAGACAGACAGGCAGGCAGAGCACCATGTCACACAGACAGGCAGGCAGGCAGAGCACCATGTCACACAGACAGACAGGCAGAGCACCATGTCACACAGACAGGCAGAGCACCATGTCACACAGACAGACAGGCAGAGCACCATGTCACACAGACAGGCAGAGCACCATGTCACACAGACAGACAGGCAGAGCACCATGTCACACAGACAGGCAGGCAGAGCACCATGTCACACAGACAGGCAGAGCACCATGTCACACAGACAGACAGGCAGAGCACCATGTCACACAGACAGGCAGGCAGAGCACCATGTCACACAGACAGACAGGCAGAGCACCATGTCACACAGACAGACAGGCAGAACACCATGTCACACAGACAGGCAGAGCACCATGTCACACAGACAGGCAGGCCCATCTGACTCTCAGCTGACTCCTCAACAGAAATTGTAAAATCCAGAAGGGCTTGGAAATGACTTAAACTCTGAATGACCACAACCACCAGACAAGGCCACTATACCAAGAAGAATTAACTGTCATAGAAGAGAAACTTTCTACAATAAAAACAGGTCAAAAGAATTCATGACTATTAAGGCAGTTCAAGCAAGTTAAGTGAGCTAATCCTTCAGCCATAAGTACAAGACAACAGTTACAACTAATTTCATAAAACAAATATAACAAGATGCAAAGATGCAGATCAACCCTAACACAGTAACGGTGGGTGACTCCAGCACGTTACTCTTATCAATCGACACATCAGCTGACAAAAACAGATATCTGAGTTCAATGACATTCTATGTCACATGGACCTAATAGATATACAGAACACGCTTACCAAACACTGGAGGAAGCACATTCTTCTCAGCAGCTATAAAATGATAATGTATTAATGATATGGGCCAAGTCTTTTTTTTAAAGATTTATTTATTACATGCAGTGTTCTGCCTGCATGTGTGTCTGCATGACAGAAGAGGACACTAGATCTCATTACAGATGGTTGTGAGCCACCATGTGCTTGCTGAGATTGAACTCAGGACCTTTGGAAGAGCAGCCTGTGCTGTTAACCACTGAGCCATCTCCCCAGCCCAACCAAGTCTTAGTATAAGAAGATCAATGAAGGTGGAAAAACTATACATTGGAGAAACAAACAAACAAAAAACCAGCCTCTTCAACAAATGGTGCTGGAAAATTGGATGTCTACATGCAGAAGAATGAAATTAAACCCCATATTCTCATCCTGTATTAAAAGTCATTTCTTGGGGTTGGAGAGATGGTTCAGTCATTAAGAGCACTTGAGTTTCTTGCAGAGGACACAGGATCAGTTCCCAGCACCTACATGGTGCCTCTCAACTATCCATAGGCATGCAGATACACACACACATGCACACACAGGCAAAACACTCATACACATAGAATAAATAAATGGGAAAAGGTGGCAATTTAAAATCAAAGACCTTAATGTAAGATCTGAAACTCTGATATTGTTAAAGGAAAAAGAGGAAATATTTCAAGCTGTAGGTGCAGGCAAGTATTTTATGAAGAGGAGTCCAGTCACTGTCTACACACAACAAGGAGGACAGCACAGGATACAAAACCTTCTCCACAGCGATGCACACAGTTAGCAAAGACATAGATCACAGACTGGTAGAAAATCTTTCCCAGTTAGACACATTGTCTTAGTCACTATTCCATTGCTGTGCAAAGACACCACAACCAAGGCAAAAGCATTTAATTGGGGCCTTGCTCACAGTTTCAAAGGTTTAGCCCACTGTCATTGTGGATGGGAGCATGGTGCCACACATGGACGGTTCTAGAGTAGTAGCTGAGACTCTAGGGGAAATGTGCATTCAAAGCACCACAACACGCACTGTTGACTGTCTGGTGAACAAACATCGATTTACCCCAGATAGGGCGCTGGTGGCACACACAGAGGAATGGCTGTGCCCAAGTCCAGCTTACTGATCAGTAGGGGTCACTTACAGCAGCTTGAAAGACTGAGGCAGTCGCCTCGTGGAAAGTCCAGGACAGTGACCACGGAAGCCCAAACCCTGGAGTACCCTGAACAACCTGCAGGTGGCTCAACCGGTTTACACACCTTCTCCTTAGCAACTGTTCCAGCTTCTCAACCCTTGGCCTCCGGGAGGAGTCTCCCAGCTTTCAGGAGCTTCCTGAGGCTGGAAATTCTATTCACTCCCTAAGTGTTCCAAGCCTTCCGCCCTCGTCTGGGAGGGGTGGCTTCAAATCAGAGAAATAGCACACAGCATCGCCTACAGAGGGCTGAAGTCTGGAAGAGTGAAAGAACTCCAATAGAGAAGCTAGAAACCAATCCACTCTACCAATAAAGGTGCCAACGGAATGACCAGGAAGTTCCCCCAAGATTCCATCCAAATAGCAACAATCATATGAAGGTGTTCAGCCCCACTAGAGTGGCAGTTTAGGACAAACTAAAACTCCATGTCCTCCTAGTCAGAACTGCAGCCATTAAGATAACAGTAGCACGGTGGTGGCTTCACTCCTAGCAACAGAGGCAGAAGCACAATGACAATGAAAAAAAATTAAATTATTTCAGTGACTGGATTCCCAAACAACTCCCAAGGTCCTGTCTTTCAGCCATAAACAGGAATCCATTTGCTCTGAAATATACAAGGTAATACTACTGAATTGCAAATAATACAACAAAATTGAAAATATTTTTATTTCTATAATTTTATTTTGAAATAAGCTCAAATCTAAATAAAAGTTTCAAGAATGGTACAAAGACTTGTAGTCAAGTGGGAAAACCACACTCGAATTTTGATAATTGCTCCATTTATGTCGTGACATTTAGGGTACGATGTCTCAGATCATGGATTGCATGCAGTGGTCATGGTTTCTTCCTCCTAGATCTGAAACATTCGTCTTTCCTTGTCTTTCGTCACATCGGATTGTTCTTACGCGGCAACCGTTTCTAGAACGTCACTTCTCTCTGTCTAATGCTTCCACGGGGCTAGCCCCGGTGTCTGTGTTCTGGCAGGGCTGCTGTGCTCTGCTCAGTACATGGCAAGGGTTTGTCCCATTACTGGTAGGAGGACTCTGATCCCTCCGTAACAAATATGGTATCTGCCATGTTTTTGAATGTAAGTTTTTAAACATTAGACAATTTTCTGAAGACACTGGGAGATAATGTAAATCATCCTATACGGACATCCTCCTTGGCCCCATTAGTTTGAGCACTGACTGATATTTCCCAACATATTAGAATAAATTATCTAACAGCAATTTTCAAACTCCATTTACATTTAATGGCCGGCATGATATTGTAGGGAATAACTTTCTCTCCTTCATATTCATTTATCTCAGTATGAATCCATGGGTTCCTGTTGTATTCAATTATTATGTTTGTTTCATGGTTAAAGTAGCCCTCACTTGACCTGTGCACACTCATTCAAGCTGTCTCTTACGCTTTCTGACTTGTAGCCATCTTTCTTTGAATACTTTATTTTCTGATACAGAGTATATACCAGACTTGAAGTCAAGATCCTCCAGCTCATTCAGAGGGGAAGAAAATTTGGAAATCAAAATCCAGCACTACTTGTGCATCTTTCTAGTCTTTTCAGTGTCCGGAATTAGGAAATATTATGTACAACATGCACACACCTCAGTATCTATGCACACTTATGTGTGTCTATGTATATAACTATTTATATAGATACAATTATATAGATATGCACAAATGTGAAGTGCATGCTGGTAACTCCAATTCGAATTGACATGGCCAGGTTTGTCCTATGCTTCTTTAAGAAGTTTTATTATTTTTAATTGAGAAATAGTAATTACATGTTGATAGGGAATACTTTGACAGTTTTGTGCCTTTATGCTTTATGGGATGACAAGACCAGGCTGTTTGTGCTGATCATCCCTCGACTACCGTTCTTGGTGGTAAAAATGCTCTCCTTTACCCATTCTGAAATATGAAAATTATGAACTTCAGTTACCTATACAAACCAAACTTTATAACTTTTCTGATTTTCTCTTTTAATTGTATACCCTTCCTCAGTTTCCATAAGTGAGAAGCTTGGCTCCTATATCCTCAGTGAATTTATTGAAATGCTCAGTTCCTTGTTTGAGCCACGCTGCTGAGCCAAAGGGGTTGTCTTCTGCCCGCTCCAAAGACCACCTCAAACCCCAGGTCACTGTCCACCTAAGTCTCACCTGCCACCTCCTCACCCCAGCTCTGATTTTCTGTGAGGTGACTGCTCCTCTCACCCGCTCCAGCGAGATGAGCCTGTGTGGGAGGCCCCTCTGCTGCTCACCTGCTCCAGTCTGTGGTCGCCCTTCCACTAGAGCCAATGGCAGGAAAGGAAGGGATTGCAGGGAGGAGGGGTGACTGAAGGAAGGATGGGGGAAGGAGGGGGGGAAGGAAGCAAAAGAGAGTGTTAAATGCAGGGCTGTGGGCTTGAGTCGCTGTATTAAAGATGAGATGAACTGGTCCTCCTGGGGAAAATCTAAAATTGAGATTAGATATTTGTCCTTTTACTCAAAATTATTTTGTAGCCTAGGGCTAGCTGTGATTTTTTCAATGTTATACAGATCCAACTGTAGGAGAAAGCTTGTGGTGAAGAATGGATTTCCCTAAGCTAATTAGAAGGTGGAAGGGTAAGGTTGGCTGGCTTAGGCCTCCGGTAGAATCTAAAGAAAACACCAGGGGGGAATTAACGAAGCTGGCAAAAGCCAAATGGCTCAGACGCTTTCATCTGAGAATGCCGACCATGACCACTAGATGGTAGTATAAACTCACAACAAATTTGTTTTTCTGCTTGAGCTGAAAAAGGAAGTCAAGGCCTAAAGAGTCTCTAAGCCCTGGGCCACAGCAGTGTCTTATGGGTACTATTAGTAAATTTCCTTCAACTTTCCTTCCATCACAAGTACAATTCAGTCAATAGCCTTGCAAATTACCTTTAAATTTTCGCTAAAATGAAAATTTTCACTAAAATTTTTAACATGTCTCCAATTTGATAGAAATTTTGAATGGATGTTTCTAACCCTTTCAATCAATTAACTGTAATAGAATTTATACATTTCAGAAACTTGGATTTTGTTTCCTCTTTTGCTCAAATAAATATGTTTTTCCATCCCCTCCGTGTCTTTTAAAAACATTCATTCTTGGTAAAACCATAGTTCACAGTTTGCAAATGAGGGCTTTACCTCTATACGTTTAATCTTGGCAAAAATGAACAGTTATGACATCATGACATAAGAGAGCATCTATGTACAAACATATACAATTTTATTGATCTCTCTACAGACTACAAGAATTTTAGGTATAGTCACAATTGCTGAATGCAACAGAAAAATAGTAATTTGTCATTTTTTTGAAAAGATGCAAAAATTCTGAAGATGAAAGAAAGATACATCAATGGTGTTGTCTGTCTCTTATTTCCTAGAATAAAACATCACATAATTAAGTACTAAAAATTATAGGTTATTAGGGATTTTGAACCTGTGTACAACTATCCAAAACCACCACCTAGTGTATCTTCTGGCTTTGCAGTTGAGAAGGGTGGGCCAAGACAGGAGGGGGAGTGGCACAAGGGGAGAGCGGTCAGAACAGTTTCTGTGTGTCCTTGCCTTCCATTGGCTGCCTTCCCCTGGCTGGACCAGTCCTTTCTGGGGGTGTGAACACTTTTTCAGGGCCCTGGTGTTCAGAAGGTGACTTTCCTTTCACTCACATTCCCAAGCGGCCCTGGCTGTTGAGACAACAATCAAACAATCCTCCCTGTTTGCTGAGATCAGGTCCAGTAAGATACCCACAGCTGAGCAGGGGCCATTCACCATGTCTGCTCCAGAAGATGGGTGCGTAATAAACTTGGAGCTGATGGACTTTGTGATTATTTTGAGAATTTTCATTGTCCAGATACTGAGGATTTTTACCACTTAGCTTTATATACTGCTGAACTTATGGTGATATTTCTTGTATCTTATGTAAAAGACAGTCAAAACTTACAATGTTGACTTAAAATAACTAAGGATCAAGTCACAGAGAATAATATTCTAGATATACAAAGAATTAGTGGCGCTGCCTGGCTAGAAATGTGCACTCACTTTTGTTCTGTGAGAGGCACAGAATAAATGCCAATCAAGACAAGGCTGTGTCTCTTACATTCTGCCTTTCCCGAACCCTTAGAAGGGGCTAAAATATCAGCCCAGGAAGGCAAGAATCTTTCTTAGTTGGTCACAGAGCAGCGCTTAGCAACTTTGGCTGGACATAGACCCGCTTTTAGGGCTCTCAAAAATACTGATGTTCTGTTCCAAGTCTAAGACATTTTTAAATCATTGGGAATTAAAAAATCTCAAGAGATTGTTATGTACAGCCAAAGCTATACTTAAAAAAAAAATACAAACCAAAGATACAAACATAGGCCTTTGCCTGTGCTGTGGTCGAATCAAAACCTCACTTCCCTCAAGACTCTCATGGCCTTCCCGACACCACCCCCTCACGCTGCACCTTCTCAGTGTCTACATGAGACCTTATTTAGTTCTTACATCCAGGGCTACGTGGTCTGTAGATAGGAATACTAAACGATTTATCAGCCATGCTTCCTAGAATCTCTCATATGAGAGACAATGCTCAACCTATGTTGGTGACAGTTTTCTCAGGCTCTCTGATTAGTGTGCATACACAATGCTACCACCTAAGATGAGGCTGAGTGACAGGAGGTGAAGAAGCTGTGAAGCTGGTATTTTTCCTAACACACAGAGAGCAAGACTGTATCTGACATGCTGGCTTTCTTTGTCACTGCCCTCTGTGAACCCGTGTGGTCAGGGATGCTTGTAGGACAAATATCCTAGTAGTTCTCCTGTCCAGCTAGCTTCATCATATTACTCTACCCAAATGCCTGCGAGCCAAGTATCTCAAAGAACCCACCTTAGTCTTCAACCAATCTCGGGCCTAATCTTACCTTTTGTTTTTTCAAACTGGCACAAATAATGGGTAAATGATACCTTTAAAATGGTATTGGTGGGTCATATAAAAGGGAACCTCATTTTTTAAAATCTCTTTAAACTTTTTAAGGTTAGAGACCTAGATTTTATAGAGAATCAATTCCAAAAGACTTGAGAAATGTTTCTAGGATGGAGTTGCTGGACATCGTCTCAGTTTGTCACTGAAGCTTTGCTCATACGACATACAATGGCCCCCATGGTGACTGAGTGCTAAGTCGGGGACTCAGGGAAGTATAGAAGCAAAGTCAGACACACAACTTTTTCAGGGGATTGAAATAAGTGAGATCACCCTCCACCCAAACTCCGGGACAAGTGGATGGCTTCATAACAGGATCATTGCTTACGTTACTGTGAGAACCAGGGAAACACGTACATCTTCTATTACATCATTGGTGAATAGAATGAAAGGTCCATTTTCTGCTGGAACACTAAGGGCTTTTCTGTTGAGGAAAGATCGGAAGTAAAGTCACCTTGTGCAGATGGTGCTCTGCAAGCCTTGTCTTCGGATGTTGCTTCGTAGACACAATGTAATTAGATGGTAACCAAGACTCAGGGCCACCTTCTGCAGCACTATTAAAGTTTCTGGGGATAGTTTTCCATGTGATCCAAGACAGAAGAGAGATGAGAAAATGCAGAAGATTAAATGTATAACACTACTCATTTCCCTAAGATAACCATGATGGCAAAATGGTGGTGGTGGTGGTGGTGGTGGTGGTGGTGATGTGTGTGCGTGTGTGTGAAGGTTAATGCAACAGAACAGAAAAGTTGAAAAAGAAAAATCACATCCATGGTTAAATTATTGTTATTGCTATCTCTTTGAATTATAAAAATAATTTTGATACAGTAAAACCTCATTAATTTAGATTCTGCTAATCATTGATTTGAGGGATAAATTACTCTTATATGAAGAAAGGGTTTGGCAAACAATTTTGTAAGCACGTCTAAGCTTTAAACATTCATGAAAACGTGTTCTTTTTAAGCATGGCAGAAGCACCTACTCCAAATGATCTCTATTTATAAACTTTTTGATTTATTTGTTGAAGTCAGAATTTTAAGCATGTCTATCAAACACTGTGGATGTCCCTTTTTGATATATTCTCTGTGTGCTTTGAAGTAGTCTGTAATTGTTAGTTCACTGATTCTTCAAAATTGAGCTCTATTGTATGAATCACACATATAATTTTGGGTGGAATTCTCTTTCTAAGAGAATGTGCTCTTGTTGCATGCTATTTTCTGTAAAAAAAACATACATTATGTATTTCACAGTCTTTCTCTTTAAATGATGTAAAATAGTAGCTCTCAACTGGAAGCAATTTTATCCTTTTTTTTTTCTTTTTACTGTTATTACTAGCAGGTCTCTAATGGCATCTAGAGGGCAGAAGTCAAGGGCACTGTTAACATCCCATAATATGCTAGACAAAAACTTGCACTAACGATGCTGCTATCGAGAACTCTTGCTATAGAACAAGTGAATTTGTATGTGTGTTGTTGAGGATTGAACCCAGAGTTTGAACATGGTGGGCAAGCACTCTCCCCTGAGCTGTATCGCTAAAGCAAGTTAAATATTCCTGGGAGTTTCAGAGATAGTCATTGAATTCAATGCTACATTGGGTTGAATTTCACTATTTCAAAACAAAAGAAGTATTTTATTCTTTTAGATCATTTTATAATGTAGAAATGTTAAAGTATCCAGAAAAATCAGAAACTTGGGTTCTTAAAACAGATAGTATAAATTGTGTGTTACATTTTGGCTGCCAATGTTTTCCAGGTCCTGACCTTAAATTCCATTAATATTTTTACTGCATAAATGTGTGTATTTTCTGTATTTCCAAGACAAGTTCTTTTATGCTAATACTATAGCAGAAGGTAGACTTAGGGAGAGATGTTTTTTAAGAAAAGAATTCAAGGATTCTAAGAAATGCTACTCTAGTGTGTATTTTCGAGCTCTTTTAACCACCTCTGCTCTCTTTTCAAGATTGCAAAGAAAAATTTAAAGAAAGCACCACTTCAAAACAAAAAATATAAAACCAATAAAAATGGCAATTTTGTCTGTGAAGTTGGAAGAAATGGTTATGTTTTAAACACCAATGCAACCCAGCAAGGCATCAAATCACCAAGAGCCAGTAAACAAATCAACCACATTTTTTTTTTTTTTTTTTTTTTTTTTTTTTGGTTTTTCGAGACAGGGTTTCTCTGTGGTTTTGGAGCCTGTCCTGGAACTAGCTCTTGTAGACCAGGCTGGTCTCGAACTCACAGAGATCCGTCTGCCTCTGCCTCCCGAGTGCTGGGATTAAAGGCGTGCGCCCGGCTCTCAACCACATAATTTAAGGTTGTAAAAAGGAGCAACACGTTGTCAGGTGAGTCCTATGTTCTGACTTCCAAGCATGTTCAATAGAGCGAGTAGTAAGAGTTGCCATTATTTTCTGTGTAGCGCTCCTCTGCTGAGTTGGAACAGATTATTTTATCATGCTAGAGCTGACCTTTACTTTTGAGAGATTTTAAAAAGGTGTTTGGTATTTACTAACATATTCCTGTGACAATTTGTCAATCTAATTAGTTAAATTATCTATGGGTTTGTGTTATTCATAATGATGACTATGGCCAACATAGCTAAAATAGCACTAGGTTTCATAAAGGTTCCTTTAATAAACATTGCACCCCAAAGAATTTTCTAATAAAAGCCCTTATCAATCAGAAATGTAATAACTCAGAATCTCTTTCCTAAAACATTAACTGAGGTTTTACTGAATCACATCGATGAGAAGGACCAGTTTGGTCTGTGAATGTCAGGCTGCATAAGCACCTTGGGATTGTAGACCCTATTGGGTTTGAACAGTAATATACTGTGTAACTGGCAGATAAGGATACAAATGGTGCTTTAAAAATATATCGCTTTGGAAACTGAAATTGGGGTATGTGAAATTCCACTCTTTGTGAAATCAGTTCTCATAACTAACTGCCTTATTCCTATAGTCTAGTTTCTGCAAACTTATCGCCAACTCCTCTGGAGACTATACACCAGGCTGAAAAAATGCTTTGAGGTGAATCAACCCTGCTCGGTTGATGACTAAAAGCAGGAACTCATCCTGAAGGTGACAGACACAGGAGTTAAGAGTGCTGGGAGTCCTTCACTATCCTGGCCAGCCTTGGTTAAGGAGAGCTGTGGATGATGTGCGATGCTGTGGAGGGAGGAAAACGTTAGTCAGATTCTTGCTTAGGAGAACTCAGTAGTGTCCTAATATACTAAGGAAGGTTTCAGATGAGAAAAAACTCTGGGTTTGTTTGGATTCCTGTTTGGATGGGTATGGCAGGTCCACTTGAAATGCAGGGTTATCTTCTAATGCAGATTTTTAAATTGTCGGGTGTGGCCCAATCAGAAGAGGAGTTCACCATAAATCCTTTTTCTTCTGATAGAACATGCTTTGGTTTCTTTTCCTCTTAAGATGTTAATTTATCATGCAAAGATTTTTTTCATTAAGTGCATTAATGCTTTTGTTTGTACAGGAAATTTCAAATCAAAAGGACTCCCCAATAGTTTCCAAACATAAATTCTTAGCAAATTACATGCCAAGATGATAGGATCCATTCCACATGGGGAAAAGACAAATTCAGCCATTATCTTGGGATTTTAACCGGGGTTGCAGCTTCCAAGGTGCACAGCGGCTTTGCCTTTGCTACGCCTCCGTGTGATAATTTCGGATGGACTATAATGGAACATTTTGTGGAAGAAACTGGTTTCTAGCAGTTGAATAGTGATGCTGGGAATAAATTTGGTTTCCCTGAATAATGGATTCTCAAAGCAGTCACAACTTCTTTTGACGGTTAGAACTGGTACCATTTCTTATCCTTGTATTTCAGCATTAACTGGAAAGAGAAAAACAGCAATGTAAAGATGTCATCTTTAAAACTCTGGTCAGCAAATCAACACTGAGTTAATCATGGAAATGTAGTTAAGTTTCAGAATGTAATAGAACTGCATGACCCCTTACTTTGTGGACAAAGTCCATGTGAGACAGGCTCAGAATCAAATACTTAAGCTGCGCACACTCAGTGGATGGGAAACGATGTTTAATGACAGACGAGATGAAAGATATGAATTCTAGCCTCTGCTGACCCTCACCCATTTCGGGGAACTCATAAAATCTCCCTGTGCGCCTGGCCAAGCAGGTGATACAAAATACAGACCTAATGTATCAGAATGGATCAATATGCTATGCCCCAAATGAAAAGAGTCTCAACTTAATGTAGATTTTTTTTTGCTCTGAGTAGAGGGCTATAGTACTTCAGGGATTCAGGTCACGTAGTGCCTCTGCCTAGGTTTCCTTCTTCAGGACTCAGATGTTTCCAGTGGCCGCATTGTGAAGACGCCTGCATTTACGTGGGCAGTTTACCTCGTGTGCATGCTTGGAGAACGCTTCTGCACTGGTCATCATGCCTGCGGTCTTTTCTTCCAGCTCCCCCAGCCTCTGTCCTCTCTCATCGAGTGCAATTCGGGCTCGGGTCAGCTCTCCCATCACCCCTCCGGCGGCGCCTTTCATCCCTTCTATACTACCTGGTCCGGGAATGTGCTGTGCAAGGCTGCGGGATGCTTTCCCCGCTGTAGCCTCCCCAACTGAGAATTTAAGCCATAGAAATGTAAAACATGTCAGTAATACATACTCAAGATGGCCTCCAAGGCAAAAAAGTACTTTCATAAATTTCTATTACTATCATAATTTTCACTCAAAGGGTGTCTTGTCACATATATGTGTATGTGTTAAAGATATGAGCACTTAAGAAAAATGCCTAAGGGAGATACTGGGAGATATTGTTATCATATGTCTGTGTATATGTGGTATATGTGTATCTGAGACTGAACTTGCAATGTATGTATGTGTTCATGTGTTTGTATATATATGCACATGTGTGATCCTGTATGTGGAATTCAGAGATTAACCTCAGGTGCTGCCCACCTTTATTTTTTTATCCTAAAAACATTGAATGATTATGACACATGCATGTTCACACACACGCATGTGCGGGTGCATTATGGGCTGAGTTCATGTCATGAACTCGAATTATTAGGTTTGGTGGCAAGTGCCTCCACTTGCTGAGCCATCTTGCTGATCACATCTTGTTTTTTGAGACAGGTCTGTTACTCAGCCTGACATTCACTGAGTCAGAAATTTAGTTAATGTTTTCAGGATGTCACATTGGAAAAGAACCTAGACTTTAGAAAATAAAAGTCTCATTGATATCTAGTTCACATTCCATAAAAGCAACCAATTTAAGTCACTGGTTTTTAGTGTCTCATACAATTGTATAACTCTAACTACTATCTGATTATAGAATATTTCCAATTTGCAATAGAAGCCCCAAACTCATGAGCAATCACTCCCCACTATCTCCTTACCCCAGCCTCAGGCACCCACTGATTAACTTTTAGTACCCATGAGTTTGCCTATTCTGGACAACTTATATGAATGGAATTATAATATGTGGCCCCTTCTCTGGTCTGGCCTCTCTGATATTTGTGGAGTTCTATGTTGCCACATATACTACACCTTTATTGACTAAAATAAGATTAAACTGTAGGGTGGTACCTATGTCTTTTTGCACAGTTATAAATTCAAAACAAAGGGAGTTTTGGTATGCAAAACTAAATGGAGGTGGCATTGTCTGAAATTTTATTTTTGTCTGACTCTGTTTTTTTTTGTGTGTCTCCTATTGCTTTTTGATTACTTTTCATCAGAGTTTCACTGGTAGATTTTCAAACTAGTTTTTTTCCTTTGGCACTGATACACTTGGCATATGAATGAAGAAGAATCCATTTTCTAGCAGTGGTAATAGGAAAGCAGACTAAAACGATTTTTCAGAATTAAAAAGACAAATACTGTCAACTGATCATGAAACTAGGGCCTATCTACAACTGGGATGCTTTTCAGCTTGCTCATTACTTATTTGAAATATATGTATATATATATATATAAATATAATTGTATATTATCTATTGCATATATAATACATGCATATTGAAATACATATATATATAATTTGTGATTATTTCCTAATATAGTAACTAATTTCATTTATGTTTACTAAACAATAATTTTCAATATATGAGAAAAATAATATTCAAACTTTAATATAGGAACAAAGGCACCTTGGTCTAGAATTTGTGATACACACACACAGAGGTTTTCTAGTTTGTGATGGGTTTAATAATAAGAAATTTACTCACAGAGCTCCTCTCTGTCAAATGTCTGTCCACTTCCACCAAACAGCCCCTTGAGAAAGCCTCTATTTTGAGCTTCTGGTGTCTCAATGGGAGTAAACAAATCGCCTAACATGTCCTGTACCAATTAAGAAGAGAGTATTAGAGCAACTAAAATGAATTAATATATGGAAAAGTAACACTGTGATATGTTACAGTACATCATGAAGACAGCCTTTCCACGTCTTTTCTGTGTGGTTGTTGCTTGGTACACAGTTCTGACCTTATCTCCTCAGAGACCACGAATAAAGGAGAAAAACAAAACTTTAGACAGTCCAGCCAATGAGCTGCATGGAACAGACCCTGGGAAATCACCTAATGCCACTGTCCTATGTCACTACCAAGTCTCTGGGGCAAGGAGGGAGCAGACTCTGCACTCAACTACTCTGCTGAGAACAGTAGAAGATCCAGCACAACTCTTATCTCCAAACACCAAGTCCACTGATTAAGACAAGACCCAGAGAACCACAGAGCCATGTGGGCATTATTTGGTCACTGACATGAACTGAAACTCACTGGAGATATGCTAAGACTGTGAACCCTGGCAGACAGGACAGCTGGGACTGTAAATAAAACACGGGTATGGCTGCATCAGGGTCTCTGACATTTAAATCCACACAGGATGTATATGAGCATCCAGCACATTAAGAAGACAGTAGCTGGCCAGCTGGAGATTATTCTGAGGGGTAGCCCATCTTGAAGTCTAAAGGTGCCATTTATTTTTATTTTGTTTGAATTCATCCAGGAACTTATTTTCCCTCTGTTTTAATTGAAAATTCTTAGAAATCATTCTTTTGAACTCTTTGGGATTTCAATGAACACATTACACTCCTGTGGAACCCACTTAAAGGAGGACTGTTGTCACCTGGGCAGACATTCAACCCAGCAGGGAACCTGTTTGAGCTCCACTGGGGCACTGCTGGTTGGCAAATCTGCTTTAACAGATCTGATCTGGACACACAGGCATCTACTCTCCCAGCAGCAGGGTTAGATCCTTAAGACAACTTAAGAAGAGGAAGAAAGCAAGATCCATTCCAGTACAGAAGAGAGACTGACTGACACCGTAATACAGTTTCTAGTTTACATTGTCTTGTTATTAAAGACTTCACTCTTGCATATTTCTTAATGGCGTTGCTTAATTTATATATTTCTTACATTTTAAAATTATTCTACTTTTCACCTATTCTATTTAGTTCTCTGTACTATTTTTATTTAAAACTCATATACTTTCCCTCAGTCCTATTTAATTTTCTCTTTCCTCAGTCCCTCTTCATGACTTACTAATGATAATTTTCTACAAATTTAATAATCTTTAAACTCCATTTATTCTACTAACCTATGGACATAATCCTAAATAAATGAAAAACTCAAAGCATTTTCACTAACATCAGGAAAGAGATGCTGAATTCTTTACTCTTTCTCTAGATAGTGCTTGAAGTATTAGTAAAAACAACACGAGAATAGAAAACAATCAACAACCAAGTTCGATGGACTAGTAAAGGAAGAATTTAAATCATTCCCCTTTTCAGTATTATGTTCCTATGTACAGACCTAAATCTAATGACTCTACCAGAAACCTTTTAGGAATAATAAACCTTTACAGTCAACTAGCAAGATATAAGATGAAGACACAAAATTAATAGCTTTCTTAAATGTCAATAATAAAAATGCTAAGAAAGAAGCACAAAAGACACCAAACAGCCAAAGCGATTCTGAGCAAAGGGAACAATACTGGTGGTATCACTGTCCCTGATTTCAGCTATACTATAGAGCCATAGGAACACAACCGGAATTCCACTAGCGTAAGAAGAGACATGTAGATCAATACAACAGAACAAAGGGCCAGAAATAAATCCATTCAGCTACACTGATATGATGGAGGAAGGTCATTGGCTAATAAAGGAACTGCCTTGGCCCATTTTATTGGTTGAAAGATAGGTGGGAGGAGTAGGCAGAACAGGACGCTGGGAGGAAGAGGAAGTGAGGTCAGACTCAACAGCTCTGCTCTCCAGAGCAGACGCCTCAGCAGAGACGCCATGCCCCGCTCCCGGGCAGACACACGCCATGAAGCTCCGACCCAGGATGGACTAGGCTAGAATCTCCCCGGTAAGCGCACCTTGGGGTGCCATACACAGATGATTAGAAATGGGCTAAATTAATATGTGAGAATTAGCCTAGAAGAGAATGGGCCAAGCAGTGATTAAATGAATACAGTTTGTGTGTTGTTATTTCGGGGCATAAGCTAGCCGAGCAGGCGACCGGGGTGCTGAGAACGCAGCCCCGCCGCTCATATTACTTCACTGATAGAACTTTTTACAAAGAGGGCAGAAAAATTTTGGAGAAGAGACAATTTCTTCAACAAATGGTGCTGGGAATACTGGACAGCTTCTTATAAAAGGATGAGAATAGATCCATGCCTCCCACCCTGATTAAAATCAATTAAAATTGATCAAATATTAATGTGAGACCTGGAACTTTGAAATTCTTATGAGAAAATATTTCAAATTATAGGCATATGTAAGGACTTTCTGAAAAGAATGGAAATAATTAAAGAAGTAAAATCAAGAATTTGCAAATGAGATTTATTAAATTAGTGTGATTCACAACAAAGAAAAAATGAGTAAGTAGACTATAGAATGGGAAATATCTTTGCTAATTTATAGCAGACAAAGATTAATATGTAGAATGTATAAGTAACTAAAATCCAAACAAACCAAAATACCAGAAAACCAAACAAGTCAGGTAACAAATGGGCTAACAAAATAAACACAGTAATCAAATGATGGGACAAATGTCCAGTAATCACATGGAAAAGTAATCAATACGCCTAGTCATTAGGGAATGCAAATTAAAACTATGTCAAGATGCCATGTCACCCTAGTGAGAATGGCAACCATCAGGAAAATAACCAACTCTGGCAAGGATGAGCTAAAAAGGGAATTTGTATACTGCTATATGTGAGAATTATTTGTATACTGTCTACTATGGAAATCAGTATGCTCATGGAGATTCCTCAAAAAAAAAAAAACAACAGAACATAGGACGCAGTTATAGTATGATCAAAGGACTTCAACATACCACAGTGATACTAACACAATTTTGTTATTTTTTTGCAGCAGTATTTGTAACAGGCAAGTTAAAGAATAAGTGTAGGTGTCCATTAGCAGAAGAATGAATAGAGAAAAATATGGTATGTTCACACAGTTGAATTTTACTCAGTCATAAAGAATAAAATAATTGGGGTTGGGAAATGGGTCAGCAGTTAAGAACACTGGCTGCTCTTTAAGAGGACCCTGGTTTGACTCCTAACTCCACAGAGCTGTGTATAACAGGGGGTTCAGATGATATGACATGGTTTCCTGGCACACACATGATGTACAGATAAAGATGCAGGCAAAATATCCACAGGCATGAAATATCAATAAATAAACCTTAAAAAATTAAAAAAAAGAATGAAATTCTGTTTTCAGGAAAATTGATGCAACTGGCGATTATTATGTTAAGTGAAATAAATCAGATTAAGAACAACAAATAATACATGCTATTTTCCACTTGTGGGTCCTATATTTTACATAAATATATACAATTGCACAGGCACACAATACACACTCCATGTATGTAAAACCTAGACTCTCTGAGAAACAGAGCAATAGGAAGGGTGGGGGGGGGGAAGGGAAATGTATGCAAGAATGAATCCAATCAAAGTACACAGTGCACTTGCATAAACCTGTTGTTATGAAAACCAAGTGTGTGTACAAGAATCCTATACAACTGTGATTAAAACAAAGCTCCGTAGAATACATTTCAGTTCACCTACTATTGTAAATGATCATAATTATCATTCATCATACTCATGATACTCTTATTACTTCTGAGTATACCTAGAACCATACTAGAAGTTGGTAGGATTACATTGAAGAATATATATTCAAAAAATCTTCTAGGAAAAATTTTGTGTATTTATTGTCTGGCCCTATGACACTTTATAGATGTCTCTCTCATTATTTCCCTCACTTAAAACTCACATGTATTTATTTATTTAATATTTTAATTTTTATTGTTATTAATTTTTTTATTTTCTAAAAATAAATTTATTTATTTACTTTACATCCTGGCTACAATTTCCCCACACTCCTCTCCTCCTAGTTCCTCTCCCCAAATCCCACATCTATTTAGATTAATGAAGGAACTTTACCTACCTGAATATTATCAGACATTTCTTGGCTATATGTTAACCGTTGAATTTCAGTAGGAGAGACAAGGTATAACGCTTGGCCTTCATTAGTAAAACAAAATGTCCGTGCTATCCTCATGTCTGTCAGTGGCAAATAATTTACATCCAACATTGGGCGAAGGCTAGGTAAGCTGAATAGAAGAACAGTTAGTAAATCTACATCTCATATTTTCTTTGATATAAATATCTACTTTAATAAAAACTATTTAATACTATTTAATAATAAAGTCAACATTTTATACTTTTTCTTTATAGCATCTTTAAAGATTAATAATAAGTAGACTTTCAAATAAAATCACATGTGCACACACAAATTTGAGCACAGTTCTATCTTAGCCCATACAAATGTTTTGCAAGTGTCCCTAGAGGAATAATGTAGAGGCCTAGGGTCTCTCTAAGCACAACTCCTTAGTATTTGATCTTATGTGCCAACAGACATGTGTGGGGTCAGTCCAGTGTGCCTGGGCATAGAGCTCCATCCCTTAGTCCCTCTTCACAGGAAGTGGAACCTTCCTGTCTCTTAGGGCATTTGTATTGAACACGACTAGTAAATAAACACAGCCGAAGCTTAAGGAATGAGTTGTAATAGGTAACAGATTAGCATCTATACATAGGAAAGACTACATCTGTAGTTACTTCCTAGCCTATCCTGCAGCTATAATTTTGATGACATAGCCCTAGAAAGGTCCTTTTGGATAATGTAGTAAAAGCTAATTTATAATCCACTATTGAAAAGCAACAGTTTTCCCATCATTCCTTCAAGTCAAGGGCAGAGAGAACTTCTCTGGTTTAATCCTCAGACTTGGGAACTATGCTAATTCTTCACGTACAGTGGTTTTAATTCATCCTAGAATACAGATAGTGTCATTTTTCTTTTAAAAAATATTTTGTAACTACATTCTGAGACCCAAAATTTTACTATATAATATGGAGACTGAAATCTATCCTATTGGAATAAGCATTTATTGATGTTCCAGCACCATGCTGCCTGGTATTTTATCCACCAACTAGTGACATGACTATTGAGCAAGTAGACGATCCTTGGATAGTCACTGACGTCTGCTGAAAGTGTGACCAGCTCGCTGGATTTCAAAGACTTAGTAGTCAAAACTATCTGAAATATGAACGATATATAACAGCTTACTATAAATCTTGAGTAACAAACAAGCTGAGAGGAGAGAAAGGACATCACACACACCTATAAATACACATCCCCTGTAATTGATCACACACACACCCCATAAATACACATCCCCCATAATTGAAGCAAGTCTATGGGTTAAATCATTTACAAACAGGATGGAGTGGTCTTCATTGGAAATCTATGAAAATAGTTTGAGAAAGAATCAGAAATCTATGAGAATAAGGAAGCCATGATTGCCTTTTCCCCAAAAGTTTCTCCCTCACTAATTATAGATCTCTTCATGTTAGAAATAATGAACCAAAATACCACGAAAATCTGGTCTTCCTCTTGAACGACTTTCCTGCTTCTCTTCTTTCTATTTACACAACATTTTCTGAAAGAGTCAGCTAAAGGATCAGACAGTAAAGGTTTCAGGCTTGGGCCTGCAGCAGCTCCTTCACAGTTGTTCAGTTCTCTTGGTGTGCAAAAGTAGCCATTGCCGACATATAATTGATGGGGGTGGCTGTGCCACAAGACACCTTCTTTTCAAACACTTGACTTCATATAATTCCCATCAACCATATTCTCTGGCTTTTTAAATCATTTAAATCTTGGCTTGCAGTCTGTACAAAATCAGACTGATTTGTCATCATTTTCAACTTCGTACTGCACTGCTCTATTCTTGCCCCCTGAAAGCTGCTCCCAGCGTCACCATGCTCCTAACACTCGCTTTCTGAACGGGTTTCACACAGCCAGTCTGGCCTCCAATTTACTATACAGAGCTGAAGAGGGAAACATGCTGCATGCAAAGCTGATTTGTTAAACAAAGATCACTAACTCCCAGGATTTAGGGAATTTGTATTACAGTAATGCTATTAGCAGGTAAGGAAGTGAGAGGAAGTTGAAAACACTGAGAATAAGGAGTTTGAGAATGGATTAAAAATAAGTTCGACTTTTAAGGTGCTTCCAAGCCATCCAGCAGATGCTTAAGAGCAATCTAAGGTCTGGTCTCTTGTGAAAATGCAGGCTTGAGCATCATCTAGGAACACTGATAATAGCAAATGTAACCACTAAGAGATCCTCCATAAAGAAATGAAAAGTAGACTGTACCAGAGATAGAAGCTTGGGACCAGTCTCTACATTTATGTACTGGGGGAAAGAAACTCCAAAGAAGGAGGTTATGAAGTCAGAAGAGAAATAAGAAAAGGCCCTGAACAGCACAACCTTCTGCAATAAAAAGGAGATTATCACAGTAAAAAGAGGTGGTCAAGAGGTAGCCCATATACCAGAAAAGTCAAAGAATTAGCACACCAGGAACAGAACTGTAAACTTGGTCATGCTGAAGCTTGCTTAGAATTCCAGCAGTGAAGGAAGGAGGTTCCAAAATTCAAGGTAATCCTCTGCTGCTGTATTCCCAATATCTGCCTGTTAAATTAATGTACAAATGTACAAATGATTGGGAATCATTCTTTCCTTGGATTCTTTGATGTCAAATATATATTCATATATAAAAATATATTTATATATGTCAACTATATACAAATATATATTTATATATATTATGTCAATATATATATTATTGTTAAGTATTTGACAAGTATTTTTTGGAAACAAAACCAAAACCAGAACCAGCCCTCTCCACACCCAAGCCACAAACCTCTCTTCAGAATATTTACAAACACAATGAACATCTATCAGGTTACTTCTCTTCAACAGTATGAATATACTTCTCACCATTATTTCTTGCTAGCATTGTTATAACTATCAGCTAATAATAAACATGCCAAGTACCTCATTATCATGATATGCCCGTTTGCACAAAAGCAGGCCAAGCAGGCACTGTTACACATGACCACCACCTCTGCTTGCAGTATGAAAGAGGCCTCTGTGATGTTGTGAACATAAAGGCAGGTCTGAGACGGCAGTGAGAAGACTTTGGCTTGTTTCTCTGAGCAGATTATTGCATACTGATGGTCGCCTGTTTCTTGGGATGCACTGGAGTAGTTCATAACCAGTTTCCTCTTCCACGTTTTCTCATTTTCGTCTGTGTTGTTCGGATCCCTCCATACTTCATATGGAGGCTGCATTAAGCTGCCACTTCTGTCCATGCAGGAAAATGTTAGCACAGCTCCTTTCAGTGAGAGGAGAGTACCTGTAAAACAAATCGTACCACTCGCATGTGAGAGCCCTTCTAAAGCTGCTCAACATTTCACGCCACGACAGTTTACGGGAATAGGCTTGTAATTTGTAATATACAAAACCAGCATGTTTGTGAGTTAATCTGCCATAACAACTTGTGCTAAAAAATGTAGGTCTAAATTTAGTTTAAACTAAACTATTTGCCAAACTTGTTCACTATATTGCTGAGAAAACAGGTCTGGAAGGATGATCACACTAGGGACAGGCCATACAGCTTGGACTGCAGCCTTGGTTACAGTTACTAATAAGCATGAATTAGATTCAGGTTTCCTGATTCGAACCCCAATATTCTTTTTTTTAATTCAAAATGTCTTTTGCTATCTTTCTGTTTAATATGGTTTTAATTGAAATAGAATTATATCACTTTCCCCCTCCGTTTTCTTTCTCCAGTACTTCCAGCGAACCCCTCCCCCTCTTTCCCACCTCTAAACCAAGAACCACAGGCAGCTATGCTGGAAGAATTATCCTCTCCCATGGATGAGCCCCATTATTGGTTGTTCAATTCAGAACACCACTAAAACATATACACAGGATTTTTTTCATTATGCTATATAGTTCCATTAAAACCCATAAAAATTTAAAAGGCAAATTTTTAGTATGTGTATAACTTTATTTTTTCAAGTGAGTTAAACTATTAAAAAAAGTGTACTATTTCCAATTTCCTTTTTGATGCTTGTTTGCTAGAAAATGCTTTTTAATTGTTCTGAAATTAAGCCCTCAATAAATATTATGTGATCTCGCATTCAGAGTTACTCCATGCCACCAATTTTGTACTTGACCTTTGATCTTAGCTAAAAGGTCAAAAAGTGACTTCAACTTTATCTATCTATCTATCTATCTATCTATCTATCTATCTATCTATCTTCCAGACAGGATTTCTCTTTGTAGCATTGGCTGTTTTTGAACTCCCTCTGTAGATCAGACTGGCCTCAAACTTAAGATCAAACTCCCCCTGCCTTTGAGTGCTGAGATTAAAGACATGCACCATTGTGCTTGGAGCGATGCCACTTTTAATGGTGTGACAAACAAGTTCTGCTGTGAATATCATTGGTTAATAAAGAAGCTGCTTTGGGCCTATAAACAGGGCAGAATAGAGCTAGGTGGGAAAACTAAATTGAATGCTGGGAGAAAGAAGGCAGAGTCAGCAAGAAGTCATGTAGCTAATACCAGGGACAGATGCCTGCACTGGATCTGTCAGCTGGAACTTTGCCAGTAGGCGATGACCTTGTGGTGATACACAGATTAATAGAAATGGGTTAGTCAAAAATATAAGAGCTAGCTAGCAATACATTTAGGTGAAGTTTCTGTGTGATTATTTTAGGGCTGAGCAGCCTGGAACAAACTAATAGCCTTCCTACTACAAAGTTCTTTTAACAAAATAACTAGGGATAGAATCAGGGCTTGTGGAATGCAAAACTTTATTACTTTTGGCCTCTAATAAAATAATTTTAAGGTTTTGTCTTTTTAAAAAAACTACTTTTAACTCTTAGGCAAATTTATGTATCTTGATTCAGAAAAAAAGATTATTTACCTGTTTTTCCCATGGTATAGAAAATAACTATCTATATGTAATTATGTATAATTTGTATAATTAACATATGCCAATAATATATCAAAAGAGAAAAGTATTCAATTTGTCCATTTATCGACTGAATCACTTTTGGTATTCTAAGTTCTTTATGTATTTTGGTTATTAGCTCCTTGTTAAACAGCTAGCAAAAATTTCCTCCCATTGTCTCCTCTACTCTTCATTTTGCTGTGAAGAACCCTTTTAATTTGATACAATCCAATTTGTCAATTTTCCCCATTTTTATTGATCATTTGGGTTCTACTTGGAGAACCATTGCCTGTAATTAAATCTTGAAGTATTTCTTTCTCCTTTGTCTTTTTAAAAGTAGTTTCAAAGTTCCAGGTTCTATGTTAAGGTCTTTAATTCCATGCAATCTTATTTAACATGATTTTAGGCTAGGTTGACTAATCTTTGCATCTCTAATTAACTTCCTTAGGGATGATTTCTAAGGTTCTGGGGATTTTTAAAACAGGATTTAGCCAGGTCAGTTTACTGACTCAGGACTGGGAGGTCAGCTACAGTTTGTAGTTTCTAATACAGCAATTCAACATAATAATGTTAGAACCGAGGAAGAAACAAAACGTGATCAATTACAAAGTGTAGTGAGCAGGGATTCAAGAAACTCAGCTTCAAATCTACTCCTCTCTCCAGCTTGTTTGAAGCATGCTATCTATCCCCTCTGGGCTTCATTTTATTAATTGTTAATAAGAAAACTGCAATATATTAATACACAATCAGGACATGCAATAGTTCGTTTGCTAGATTAGCATCACACAAGGACTTGGTCAAACTGCAAATCCTCAGACTATCTTAGACTTACTGAACCAGAGGGTCTGGGGTGGAGTCCTTCGATCTCGATCACAGCAATACCTTCAAATTATTCTGATACAAACAAAAGTGAAGTATGGAAAGAGACATAGTATGCATGTGCTTCCCAGCTCTACAATTCAATGATTGAACATACTTCAAACTTCCATATTACTGATAAGAATTTGTTGCTAAGACTAGCAAGGTTATCTATCTATGTAAAAACATTCCTTAAAAAAGGAAAGTGGGATTTTATTTTTAGTAGTATACTTTTTAGTTACTAATTCAACCCCTTACTAGTTCTAGGTCTGTTCAGACTTTCTACTGACTCAGGGTTTGGTGCAGGGTGTATTTCTAGTTTTGTACTCATTTCCTTTAGCTTGTCTGGTTTGTTGGAATACCAGGATAACACAACCATGATGAGGTACAACCTCATATCTGTTAGGCTAACCATTCTAAAATCATCAAAAGATAACAACGACAGCATTATGTGGGGAAACTAAACATACACTGTTGGTATATCCTCACATGCAAGGGACATGTGTCAGAACACAGTCCAAGAATGGAGAAGTGTGAGGAGAATTCTGAGTGCTTGTGGGAAAATGCCAGGAAAACAAGACAAGAGTCTTATTACCTCAGTTTCTACAAACACATGGAATTTGTTCTCAGCATGTGCTTTATTTGCCTCTCCTGAGCATAGCACATAGAATGAGTTTACTTCTGATTATTTATTTCAACTGGCTATTGTTATTTATTTGTAGGCCTCTATGGAAAAACATGTTTTTTGCCACATTCGATTTGTCCTTGTGATTATACACAGCTTGAACTCATGAGAACTTTACTCAGGTGACCATTCTTAACCCTCAGGGTATAAAGTGTCTGACACTCTGAATAAAGTTGGCTATTGCATGAGACTTGAGTCTGACTTATTTTTAGGCTTCATTCTCCTATCTCAGAAGTAAGAACTCTCTAGTGATGGAGGAAGGTCATTGGCTAATAAAGGAACTGCCTTGGCCCATTTTATTGGTTGGAAGATAGATGGGAGGAGTAGGCAGAACAGGATGCTGGGAGGAAGAGGAAGTGAGCTCAGTCTCGACAGCTCTCCTCTCGGGAGCAGACGCCTGAGAGAGACGCCATGCCCCGCTCCCAGGATGAAGCTCCGACCCAGGATGGACATAGGCTAGAATCTTCCTGGTAAGCGCACCTTGGGGTGCCATACACAGATAATTAGAAATGGGCTAAATTAATATGTGAGAATTAGCCTAGAAGAGAATGGACCAAACAGTGGTTAAATGAATACAGTTTGTGTGTTGTTATTTCGGGGCATAAGCTAACCGAGCAGGCGGCCTGGGTGCTGGGAACGCAGCCCCGCCGCCCTTATTACTACAGTCCAGGACCAGTTACAATAAAACCAGGCCATGTTTCATTATTTCTGCATCCTGTGTGCCTTTCCCCTGCCTGCTGTAGAGCCTGCAGGGGACCCCACAGAATGCCTGGCACATATTGGATGTCCAATATATATCATCATTAAGTTAAAGAAGAGATCTGAATTGGTGATTCATTCTGACCTCACTGATCTGACTCTAACTTCAGCAGAATAAAAAATTCATATTTCCTTACAATTAGAAATGCTTTAAAAAGTATTTTTCTCTATGTCATATTGGCTCAAAATAAAGTGTTTGTTTTTAGTAGTTTAGAGACAAGGGGTTTCTAAATTTGTCACACTCACAGAGCTGACTATTCTGCCTGCCACCTACATATATCTATGTAACACAAGTTAATACAAAAGCCCAAATCTCTCTAACCTGTCATGCTATATGGACTGTTTAAAAAAATCTCTTACCCTATGTATTCATAAATTTTTTTTAGCTTAATATACCTAAAACATTTATTATATTTATGAAAGAGGAAGTAAAACTAATGATTAGAATCTGTTAAAAATATTCAAAGGCATGTCAAGGGAATCACACAGACTTTTTTAAAAAGAAATAAAAATGATATTTCAGGGAGAGTAGAACATGTTCCTAAGTTGAATTCTTGAGGATCTTCAGGAAAAGGCAAGGAAAACTTCAAATATCCACCTTAGGTCAGATTTCTTCTACTTTATTTATTCCGATTTCAAGAATGATGTAAAAACACTTGTAGGTTCTGGCCTGACATAGAACTTTGGAAAAATGCCAAGTTATTAACACTAAATTGAACTTGTGCAGTAATGTTTATCTCAGCACTTTTAAGGAGCTTATTTCTGAAAGCAGGGTTTAGATTGGCCTTTCTGGATCCCATTCATAGGAACAACTCAACTATACTCTGACCCCGAGAACTGGTAAATGGCAGTGTGGTAAGTGTTGGAAGAAGACATGAAGTTCTGATAGTCTGAATTACATATGAGGCTTATACTCCTCACCTTCATCCATAATCAATGCATATTAGCAATTCTTGATATCTAAAGTTGAATAAGTAGCAGCAAGGGAATGAATGAGTCAAAACTCTTACCACTTGGCAATACCATCACTGGCTCTGTACACCTTTGTTCGTCTGATGACGGTAGGTTCAGGGAGATGAGTAAAACCATTCCCAGACTAGTTCCAACAAAAAGACAAGGCGAAACAGTGGAGTCGTTCTTCCGCGCAAAGGATTCCATGAAGTATAAAGCTGTAACCGCTTCTTTGGAGTCTTTGTCAATACTGGAGATGCTAGAGCTCCTGGAGCGGTTATAGGAATTCTCTCTGGCTTCTATGAAGGTTTAAAAAAGCAAAATGAAGCATTAGTGAATCTATAAAACAAGTCAAATTTAATACCTGAAAACTATAATTATGAGAGAAAGAAAGGTTTTATTCTTTGTTTACTGGCGTGAAGGGTATCTTCCCCAAGGTAGCAGCTCATTTTGAAGGAGTAGAGTCTGAAATCTTATGTGCTATCATAAACCTAGGCAGAGTTAAAACCCAAACCCTAGTCTCCTGAGTTCCAGCATACCACTTTTCTTTTTACATTTCCTGAACGATCAGTTGAAATTCTAATCGGGGGGGGGAACCCCTTAAATCTAAATAGTCAAGATTATAACATTTTCTACCACTGTAGTTGTTTTTCCTTCGCATCTTTTGATCATAGAAACCATACTAATAATCTTTGGCAAGTCACACTTACCAACAGTACCATGGTTGCCCACGTGAAAGGACCAATCTGGATCATAAATGATCTGTGACAAACATATTGTATGCAAGTGAAGCTATAAAAATTGAAGTTTTAATGTAAGTCCAAAAACGGGAATGTGATTTCTGTAGACTTGTTTTGACCTGCCTGCCTATAACCCAAATCCAGGTTTAACTAACTAACGCCAAAGGACAAAACAGACTGTGCCTTTGGATTTCCCGAAAAGGTTTCAGCCTGCTTAGAAAAGAAACAGCAGCATGGTTTTGTGTGCTCTTGCCTCATTAACACCTGTGCATATGCACCCTCCAACAAGCACGAATTCCCCCATCTGCGAAACAGAAATATAGTTATACTGACTTTAATTGCTCAAGGACAGGCTCCTACTATTTCTACTGTCTCCACTCACCTTTTTCCTCTCGACAGATCTCAGTGTGCCTTTTTAATTCTCATAGAACCAGATGAGATATGAATTCTTCAAAATATATTTACAAGGAAGAGAATGCAATATTCCTAATTTCCCTATATCTTTACCAAATTGATAAAAAATATCTTGTAAAATTTATCATCTATATATTTTACAAATTTAAAGACAGAATTATTACTAAACTATTTTCTAGCACAAACTAGAGGCAGAAATATCTATGACTCAAAAGTCTGCAGCATTCATTCCAATGATTATTCTCTTGCTTTTATAATCCTTACACATTGCTCCTATTATAACATTTGTAGCCAATCTGTCTCCAAAGTTTCACTCATGATTATTACTCAATACTGATACTCACAAACACCTGCTAGAAATATGATTTAGTCATTTCCATGTCTGCTGGACAAGATTTTGTATAGCATATTATTAAATAAAAACTGAGTAATGAATTCATTAAAAACATTTTTGAAGAACAGTAATAGATTGCCATTTGAAGATTTAAAGAATAGTATAGAGTTATTACAGCCAAATATTTCTATTATTTTCCCCCCTCCTAAAATCTTTATTACCAAAAGAGTAAAAGCAAACTTATAAGATTCTGTTTTCTTTCCTGCTCTAAAAAGTTTTGTCTCTTTTCTTCTTGTATTTGACTCCCCATCCACATACTTATTTTATGAATAAGGAAACAATAACTTCCTTTAAAAATTTACAAGGATTATAAACTTTATTATTTTTATTTATTATTTATTTATTTGGTGGCCCTGGGGATATATTCTGGACCTCACGCAGACTGGGTAAGTGCTCAGCACTGAATTATATCCCAGACCTTTTGTCCTTTATTCTTTGAGACAAGGTCTTGGTAAATGGTCCAGACTGTCCTTGAGCTCTCTCTGTAACACAGGCAGGTCTTGCAATCCTCCTGCCTCTGCCTCCCCAGCAACTGGGATTTACAGGCCTGTGCCACCAGATCCGGTTATAATTCTGAATTTTAGAATTTAAAAACGTGTCTTTTTAAACTTGGTTATATTCATTTGACAGCAGAGGTAATTAAGGTTGCCTTTGCAGATTGTCACCTTTTGTATTGCCTACCTATAGTGGAGTCATTTTTTTCTGTTTTTAGAGATAAGGAAGGAGGTGGACCGGGGAATAGAATTGGAGTTATGGCCACAGTCAAGTAGGATCTTGTTTTTTTTCAGTGTCATGTGGGTTTTATCATCTTTTAAATTAACTTCCATTTCTTGTCTCCCAGCACCTGTTACCATGACAAACCAAGCTTTTAACTGTATTCACAAGAATTGACATGTTTAGCCTACCTTCAGTTGTAACTGGTAAAGAAATCTCCATGCAAGCAGCTGACTGTGCCTTTCTAAATGGTGGTCTTCCAGGACCCCAGCGATTTACTTTTGAAACATCAGCACTGGAAAGACGTTTTCCAGAACTGCAACTCTGAGAGGTTGGACTTGTGCAGTGTCCATTTACATGGTCTGTACCAAGAGGAAGAAGGCAGAATAAATATCATAGTTAAGTCTTCAGATGAGGAAATCCAAAGGCATAGTTTAAAAATGGAGGAACAAGAATTCCTCTTCTTCCAACCCATTTGCATATCACTAGTTTCTTGTTATTTTAAAATTTAGTTACAATTTCAGATTATAAAAAAATCAAAACACTTATTATGTATAGCACACACATTCCTAATTTGTTTAATTATCATCATTTGAAATGTGCTGTATATTCCTACTATGTATTTAATATATTGTTGAATGGCAATATAAAATAAGTTTTAATATTGTATTTTTATCACATTATTTGAACAGGTCCAATTTATGTAAGTTTTGGAAAGTATTTCTTTAATTTGGAGTTTAAGATGCAGAACACAGCATCATGCTATGCACTTGAGAGCAGTACTTAAGGACATAGCTGCCTTCATGCATATTCTAGTTCTGACACTAATTAGTTCTGCCCTACTCAGGTCTTCACTCTTTGATTTCCTCTAGAATGTTACTGCCTAGTTCATGCAGCTTCTGTAGTGTTTTTGGAGTCCATGTCCTACACAAAGGGCTGCAATAGACACGGTATAAGCTTTTGCCTTTGTCACTCTTCTCTCAAAGTATAGAATTACTTAAGTATAAAATGTTTATCTAACTTCTGTGAGTGTTTGGATAGCACTTTGAAAACTTGGACTAGGAGTAGACCTTAATGGTACAAAACTCATTTAGCATGAAACAGATTTTCTTATTTTGCCTAAAAGTAATAAATTGCATTTGAAATACCCTTCATGGTTCTGCAATATAAAGAACGCACTATGGACCATTCTGCTCTGGTCATCCTTGAGGTAGAGCTGTATGGAAATGCCTACTAGCAATTTGACTATGTGGACCTGGCAATCTATTACAGCCTTTCTGTACTGCACAATTTTAAAGCCTAAAATTGTGTCTTTCCTGGATTACTTTGCAGCTACTCAAGGCAGGAATTATTTCTCACTATTTTATTGTACTAGAATTTTTCCTACCAATTTTTAAAATGAGAGTTAACATTTATCAGTATTTCAATGGTGGGCATTGTATATGTATATATCTGTGTATTATCTTATTTAATTTTCAAATAACCCTGTAAGTTGTAAGATAATTTATTATTATTGTGACATTATACATGATAAAAATGAAGAACATAAAAAATGAGATTTCCCATCAGGGAAGAGTCTAAACTGATTTTCTCAACTGATATATGTGCTTAAGCACTGAACTACAGAGTTAGCCAAATATTTGAGAAAGAATTAAACTTTTGAAAATATAAGAAGCCAATGAAGTCCATTGAAACTTAGTCATTTTGGAATCAAAGCATCTTTCATTTTGAACAGAAATTCAGAAATCTCAGCTAAAAAGGCAGATTTTATCTTATGAAGATACTGTGAAGAGGAAGTCAAGAGTCCTAATCCTCCTTCTCCAGCATTAAAAAAGAATAATGAAGGCAACATTTGTCACTGACCACCTAGTGAGCATTAGACGATGGCAACTGCTTTAGATATACAATTAGCAACAATACCCCCATTCTCATACAGCAGTCAGAAAACCCCTGCTCTCTCCACAGATATGGTACCTTGCTTTAGGGCCTATGGCTTATCCACTATGCCAAGCAAATGTTCATTTAAAATAAATCCATGATAGATGTTCTCGATAGATAAGAATTGAAAAAATTAAACATAGCTCAGATAGTCAACTTGGAAATTTATGTTAATAAAATGGAGCTAAATAAAAAGAAAAGCAAAGCTAGCTGTTGACTAAGTCATTCTCTGTCATATTGTTTACAACATAGGCTAATCTGGAGCCAGTTTCTATTCGGTTTTGCCTGGCTTTGCTCATCATGATTAGTCAAGGTTCTTTCTTGTTGTGTCAAGCAGCTATTTATTTTCATTCTGAGAAATATTCCATTGTCTGGGAATGCCATTATTTGCTGAATCATTTATCTTTTGATGATTATTTTGGATTTCCTCAGTTATTAATTATTTTTAAAGAGATTTAAAAAAATTAATATTTTGAACTCATCAGAATTTACCATTTTTGGTCTTCATCAGTTTCTGGGTATATTGAGATATCTCTGACATCTGGATATTTGGAGGTTGAATTTTTTCAGGTGTGTGTGTGGCCACTTTTTGAGTATCACTATATGGATCAGTCTGTCCTCAAGTTTGTGATCTTTTCCTTCCCTTTTCCAATTGTTGGGAATGTTGTAGACATGTGCCACCATGCATGTCTTTAGCTTTTGTATACCCAATAAAGCATTTATTTCACCTTCATTTTGAACACGATTTCTATTGATTGCAGAATGTTATGCTGTTTTCCTTTCAGTAATTTAAACATACTTTTCTACTTTCTTCCAGCTTTCTTTTTCTGTGGAAAAAATTTGCTTTATTCTTGTTTTTGCTACTTGATGTGTTAAAATGTCATCTCCCACACCTCTGGCTAATTGGCACTTAAAGAAATCCAATTATGATGCTCTTTATACAATTTTCTCTACATTTCTCATGCATGAGGTTCATTATGCTTCTTGGAACTGTGGATCTTTATTGTTTATAAAACTGAGAAACTGTTCAGCATCATTTATTCAAACATTATTTATCCCCATTCTTTTTCCAGAATTCTTGCAGCATATGCACTAGATGGCACAGAGTTTCTTTCTAAACAGTAAATTTTTGAGTTCATGTTGTTCTTTTTTTTCCCATGGTATTAGATATGGGGATTTTATTGAAAGTACCAAAGCAGTAAGACTGAGATATAAATTTTAGGCAAACTGTCTATCGGGCTTATACAGTGACCAAACTGGACTACTGAAAAGGGTTATGATTGACTAAGCACCCTTCCTTCAGTAAATTTTCATTAATGATGCTTAACTCTTGTTGGCTTTATTTCAAAGTGTGTCAGACTATAGCTATTTTAAATGGTGGAAGAGTGTATATGCATGTGTGTGTGTGGAAAGGATCTATAGGATTCTATTTTGAGCAATGAACTGGGGTGACAAAGGCCAACTTGATTTTATTTTATTACTCATTGGGTCAGGTCCTCTTGACTATCCAACTATGGGAAATTTCGCAGCAGTGAATTCTATGATCATCATGTTGTTCTTAAGCAGTGTCAATTCTTTTTATTAAGCCCATTTAGTGAAATAATCATCTCCAAGAAAATGCTTTTTATCTCTAAAAGATTGATTTAGATTTTTTTTATATAATTTTATGCTTCTTTTTGACATCCCGGGACCTATCTCTCACTCTACAGTATATTTAAGTAGTTTACTAATTCTAGCCTACCTATAATTTTTATGTCAGTTTCTATTGATTAATATTTTTCTTCTTCATAGGTTCTGCTTTAGTATAGGTTCTAGACACTATTACATGCTAGTGTTAAAAAATTTTTCAGTATTAAAGATACTTCAGAGTTTTTCCAGGACACAGTAAAAATCTTTAGAAGGATATTTTTACTTTTATTTTACAAAAATTATATATCCATATTAACTTGCCTAAAATGTTCAGAATAACATATGGGCAAGTGAAGTGAATGATGATATAAGGGGTAGCTCTTCTATGACATAGCAACTGTAAAGCAGTATGCTGCTAGCTAAAAGAGAGTTTAGATCAGACTAGAAGGAGTTTCTTCCTAATGGACCTTTCCAGATGGTCTTCTCTTCCTGACCACAGTTCTCACTTCTCAGCCTCATCTACATCAGGTCCTAGGAATGAGCTTCCTAGCTATGAGGGAACCTTAATGTTTAATAAGTAATATGTGACTCCCACGTGCATAAAATGTGATGCTTGGCTGACAGGAGGAACTGTGAGCAATAACTTCTGAAGAAAAGCTGGATCTGGTTGCAGATGAAAATTCCTGGAAGAATCTGTGTTTTTAGGGACTGATCAGCTGATGAGAATTCCAGTACCTGCAGAGGCATGCAGGCTGTTCAGAGACTGACCACCTTATCTTAGCCTAGGTTCTGATCTCCCACCTCCCAATCTGAACCACCATCTTGTAACAAAAGATAAATGGCTTTTAGAACCTACTAACTTAGCAGGCAATTAGCTTCTATCAAATCAAAAACAAAGAATGCTATCAAATAGTATATTGAGCCTGTAGAAAAATGCCCCTCATTTCAATGTAACTGCCTTCTTGGTAAACCCACAAATGTACTTCAAACTTGCCTTGATTTATGACTTTCTCTGTTCTGTAAAACTATAAAAATCTCCTTGAAACTGCTTCCATTTTGAACATGGAATTTACGGTAACCTAAATCTGTGTTTCCAGGCTATGATCAGTCAAAATGGCTCTAGAATAAACTATCTTTTTTCAGAAAGAAAGAGAAATAGAGGGCAGGGAGGAAGAAAGAAAAGAAAGAGGGAAGGAAGGAAAACCACAAAGAAATGTCTCAATATTCAAACAGGAAAACTTACAGAGATGGAAGCAATTACAAAAAATGAATAGATATTATAGAGTTGAATAAACTAAAAAAAACACAGGTCTATAGAAAATATCAGGATCAGGGTGGATTGAATAGAAAAAAGAATGAACTTGAAGACAGGCTATTTTAAAAATACATAAGAGAAAAGAGTAGAGGTGAGGAGGGAAGAGAACTTATGAGACATTATAAGAAGTGTAAATATTCAGGTGGTTGGGATTTCAGAATGAGTTGAACATGCTAAAGGTTTAGAAAGCATATATAAAAAAGTGACAGAATTTTTTAAATCTAGAGAAAGCTACAAATATCCAGTTACAGGAAGTTCAAGGGTATCTTTAAATCAACCAACTCTAACCTAAGACATTTTATAAGCAAGTTTTCATCACAGGCAAGAAAGAGAAACCTAGCCATGTGGCTCACACCTCTAATCTTAGCATGAAAGAGGCAGAGGCAGAAGTACAACATGTTTTAAGTCCAGAAGGACACACGAACACATGAACACACACACACACATACACCACACTAATGAGAAGAATTTCAAGACTTG